TTAAAGAATTTACTTTTACAATTTTTTTTTAAACAAAATGAAAAATAGACACAAACATAGGGTAATACCAGTAAATTTAAAAAGGAAATTTGTCGTAGCAGACCCTAACCTATCACTTTTTGTAGAATTTACCCTAATTGTCACTTTATACCAGTCACAATTTCAAACCTTTCAAAAATATTCACCTATGTCCAAATGGATGAAAACTCATTTGATCGTTAGTTGATTGAGAAGTCAAAATTTAATCAATTTTGACCAAATTAAAAATGGTATATTTCGTAACGCTCAAATGGATGGACTTCAAGTGCATATTTTTGAAAGGTTCGAAACTTTGGATCGCACTAAGTAAAGATAAGATAAAATTACAAAAAAAAAAAAGAAAAATTAGAGATCTCTGCATCAATTTTCCCAATTTAAAATCCTCTCATATTGCCTCTGATTTTCCTTCACGGTATCGACTTTCTTTCTTTGGCAGGACCCACACACAGAGAGACAGTCAGAGTGTGTCACGGGTGATTTGTATCGGTCGAAAGTTACAAGGGAAACGAAAAGCTTTTTTTTCCCCGACAAATCAGTGGGCCTGCCGCTGCAGTAATAATAATGATTCTGAGGTCACACTTTTAATTATTTTGTAATCATTATGTTCCCGATCAAATACAGCCATAAAGGCATATCACTTTTCCATCTTACTTTTTAGATGCTATTTAGCCTTTGTTTGATAAATTTTAATTTAAATTAACAGAATTAATTTTAGCTCTCGTTTGGTTTTCATTTTTTGATCACAAAAATAAAAAATATAATTATGATATATCACATTAAGTCATCATATTTGATTTTTTATTTCTTGTATGAGTCTCATAATAATTATATTTTTCGTTCTCATTTTTAAAAAAGGGGAATCAAACCAAACTTAAATGAGATATTTCAAAGAATTTATAATTTATTAACCACACATTTAATTCACCTTATTAAAATATACTAAAAATCTAATTTCAATCCATCAAACAAGGGCTTAGCATATGAGGTACAAATAAGGGCTTGTTTGAGCCACAATATTTTAAAAAAAAATTCATTCTTCAACAGTGATTTGATATCATTTCAACCATACATTCTTCAATAAAATAATATTACACAAAAAACTAAATTTTTTTCTTATTTTTTAACCACACATTTTCCATTAATTTGACATGAATAATAATACATTTTTTCCTAAAATGTGGCTCAAACATGGGCTAAATATGTTCTTAATTTTACTTTTTATTGGGTTTATCATCCTGTACTATTTAGATTGGTATTGTAGCATTAACGATACTAAGTCCCCGTTCGTTGGAGATTAAAATTAAATTTTTAGTAGATTTATATAAAAGTTAATAAAATGTGTGGTTGAAAAGTTGTAGGGTATGTAAAATATGTGATTAAAAATAATTATTGATTTTGACTTAAATTAGAAATCTGAATTTTTATTTCTACCAAACATGGGTTAAATAGTATTACTCTACTTTTTAGTTTTAGATCTTTAGTAGATTTTTACTATAATAATTAATCCTAGTTTGGTAGCAATTTTTTATTCCAAAAAATCAATTTCTTGACTTCTATTTCAGTATTTTAGCCTTCATTTTTTATTTCTTCACTCACAGGTAGGATCCACTTTCCCTCTAAGAGTCAAAAAATCAATTATCATAATCACCACCGAACAGACCCTTAGCGTTTCTCTAGTAAAGCTATTTTTCGCTAAAAAGCTGATGAAATTGGCCAAACTTCGATTATAATAACACATTTTATTTAACTCATAATTCTTACCCACTTTTAATCACACATTTAATGAAATCCATCAATTTTTATCAATTTTATTTGTTAAAAATCTACACCAAACACATTAAATTTATAATAAAATATCAAGAATACGGCCGCACATTTTTGAAAAGTTAAAACTTATAGCCATCCTTTATTTGACCTTTCTCCCTCTCAAATTAGGACCATTTCAATATCAAGATTAATCAATTTGTGATATGGAATCTCAAATTAAGATTTTTTGCACTACGCATGTGCAACATTGTTTCTATTATTAACCCTTTTGAGAATAAATTTTATGAAATATTTTAAAAAATGTATGATACAAATTTTAAGTTTACATGCAAACTTATTTTATAAGAGTATGTAAGGTTGAAAATAAGTTTTAAAAAAATTGAATTTTAGAAAAGAGAATCAAACAATGTCTAAACATGAATGAAACACTCAATTATCTTGTAATTAAATTCAAATTTATAGAAAATAAAAATTATTTTCATCAGTTTTTGTGGTTATTTCATTTATAGTATATATATATATATATATATATATATATATATATATATATATATATGTGACGTTTGAATCAGTTATATTGAAAACTAGAATAAGGAACCTTTCCGTCTGATCCTCATTAAAAAATTGCAACACGTTATTTTATTGAAGCATTTTTTTTTTTTTTCATTTTATCCTATTTTCACCTCAAAATTATCTCTTTTTATGTACAATAGTGTTTTCAAGATAAAATATGTATAGATAAATTGTTTCACCTTTAATAATCAACCCATGTTTGATTTAAATAAAGAAGTTAATAAAATTTTAAGTCAAAACTAATAATTAATTTTAATTGCACATTTCATCAAACCTACTACTTTTCAACCGTACATTCCAATAAATTTTATCAAAATATAATACTCCCTCCATCTCAATTATATAGGCTTGTTTCATTTTTCACACAGATTAAGAAATTTTCTTTGATGTCATTGGAAATTAATTTTTGCCAAAACCTTTCCTAGTTTACCCCTATTTAATTTCCAGCATGTAGTAGTAAATTATTGTTGGAATTAGTAAATAATTTAAATGATTTAATTTGAAGAAGAAGAAATTAGAGTTGTTCCATGTTTTCAAGAAGTGGGAAATATGTGTATTTGGATGATTTCAAGAAATTGACATATTAAGTGTGAAAAAATGAATAAGGGTATATTGGTAAAGGAACAAAACAAAATATTATAAATTAGGAAACGTGCTTATATATTTGGGACAAAAGAAAAATGAATCTCAGCTAATATAATTGGGACGGAGGGAGTAAAAATTTGATTTTCATCTAAAATCCAATGATATATGTATTTAAAATGAATTTTTGGCATTAACTTAAATTTTTATCAACTTTTTTTAATGAACCAAACATGACGTAATATAGTAAATATTTTTCCTCAAAGTTTCAAGACAATGTCATTTTGTCACTTTTTTGTTTTAAAAAGTGAAAATTACAGTACAACGGGTATTTAAAGATGACAATTACAAAATCAGGTAGTAAGTTTACTTTAACGTAAATAAGGTATTAATCGAAAATTAAATTAATCTCTCTCATCTCTATCTCTCATTCACTCCCGCTCTCATTTCTCACTCTCCTAGTCTTGCACTGTCATCATCGGAGCTCTGGCCAGCAAGGTCGTGCACATCGGCGTTCAAATCACAGGTGGAGCCACTTGAAGAGCTAACTGAAGGCGAATGGAATGGCAATATTGGCCGTCAAAGCCTCCTCTGCACTATCCAAGAGTGGTGATAAAAGTCGATTCCGTCAAAAAATATTGGTTTTTTCCGATGAGAATAATCTAAAGACATTGAGGAAGACAGCTCACGTCAGTAATGTTGGGATCAAAAGTGGGAAGTTGAAGAGAAATTTGAGTGTGATTTTTTGGGAAATTAATTTTGTAAATAATGTCCAGAAGGTTATTTATTCTTTATTTAACCTAAACAAGTGTTGGATTGTTTCATAGTTTGGGGGCTGCTGTGAAATGGGACACATATTTTGTTGTTGTAAACGAATTGAGAATTTGGAGGTTTGGGGACTTCTATTTTTACAATATTTGATAGTGAAGCTAGTTAATTTTAGAAAAGGGCTCTAAGCGGTGGTTGGAAGTCATTTTTGTGATGCATTGGCATTGGTGATTTACATGGTTGTTGGGGTTGTGCTGCTTGAACAACCCTCTAGACAACTAGGGGGTTATGTGGCACCCCTATTGGGGTAGTGGTGGTTCTGGTGGAATGTTGGTGGTGGATCAATGTCCACAAGTGGTGATGGTGGCAGTGCATAGGTTACAATCGATTGAGTATATGTGACCAAATCTCTTAAATATGTGACCTATCAAAGTGCATAGATCACATGTCAAAATACATAGGTCACGGATTCAAGAAATTTGATTACAAGCCACTGTATCAAGTCAAAGTTCTAGGAGATTTGTTCACCCTCCATTTAATCAAGTCACGGTCACATGCAATAGGGCACATGTCAAAGTTCGGCATAGGTCACAGGTTTAAAAGATTTGGTTACATGCCATTAAATTAGGTCATAGATCACATGTTAAGTGCATAGGTCACAAGACACGAATTCAAGAGATTTGGTCATAAACCATTGGCTCAGTTCACATGTTACAGATCCAAGAGATCTGGTTACATGCCTTAGATTTCTCCAACCTCAATTATTCAGATTGGTTACAAATTCAATTAATCAGATTTTGACGGCGAGAATTGAAGTTATTTGCTCCAGTAAGTATTCTGTAAATTACGTGAGGAGCTGTTTTTCAATTTTAGATTTTAAATTTTAAATTATACTTACTGAGGTGTGAATGAAGAAGACGATCAGTCGATGGAGTTCAATTCGCTGCTGAATAAGATGACGACGAATGGGGTAGGGGCGATTGTTTGGTGAAGTCGGTGTAGATAGGTTAATTTAATTTGATAATATTATTATTTAAAATTAAAACAGAAATTTGACTTTTGAATTTTGAAATTTAATCTCTAGGAATTGCTTTGTTGCATACTTGATAGCTGGGATGAGATTTTTCCCCTTAAAAAAAATCCATATCTACGTTTACCTCGTAAAACTACAAATGACACGGCTCTACACATTCTGTTAATTACAAGCAGCATACAGCCAACGTACACGTACAAATAAGAATATTAGGGAGAGAGAGAGAGAGAGAGCGTGTGGCCCAGCTGCTAAAATCTATGGCTGACCAACTTTGAAATGAAGAGATAAAGAGATAGAAAGCTTGCAAAAGAGAAAGAAGGGAAAAGGGTTGGTGGTTAGAAATGGAGAGATAATATTCTCTTTAGCTTTCATGGGTTTTTGGTTTTTTCTTTCGAAAATCAAGCAAAAGTCCTCTAAAGATCTCTGTAAGTAGAAACCAAAGTTTAAGATTATTGGTTTCTGGGTGCTTTGAGATTCAAAGTTTTGTGTTTTCTTGTCATTTGGAACAATCTGATAGTTCTAAGATTTGAATAATAGCCAAGATTTATCTGTTTGTATTTGGAGAAACCTTTTGTTTCTTTTGGATTCTAGCAATCTCCCTTAAGCTTCAGTTTTTCATTAAAAATGATGTCTGATGATGTATTTTCTCTTCCTTCTTCCGCCAAAGCTTTCCCTCAACAACTTGCAGAACCAAACCCTAACCCTAAATTAAATGCAAACCCTACTTCCAAGAAGAGGAGAAATCTACGGGGAACACCAGGTAATTATATATTAAGTTTTGTGTATATCTTGTTATAGATCAAGTCCTAATTCTGACTGACGCATATTAGAAACAAATGACAAGGCCCTTAGATTTATTGTGATTCACTCTCAATATAAGAGCCACGTCTACTTTGCCACACGGTCATATAAATTCAATAGTTCAATTGTCTGATGAATATGATTTTTGTTTTGGTTAAATTTTAACAGATCCAGATGCAGAAGTTATTGCTCTTTCACCAAAAACACTCATGGCCACAAACAGATTCATCTGTGAAATCTGCAACAAAGGTTTCCAAAGGGAACAAAATTTGCAGCTCCACAGAAGAGGCCACAATCTTCCATGGAAACTCAAGCAAAGGGCTAATAAAGATCAGATAAAAAAGAAGGTCTACATATGCCCGGAAAAGACCTGCATCCATCACGACCCATCCCGGGCTCTCGGGGACCTCACCGGCGTCAAGAAGCACTTTAGCAGAAAACATGGAGAAAAGAAGTGGAAATGTCAGAAATGTTCAAAGAAATATGCTGTTCAATCTGACTGGAAAGCTCATTCTAAAACTTGTGGGACTAGGGAATATAAATGTTACTGTGGAACACTTTTTCCTAGGTGTTTAATTTAATTCTACTGTTTATGCTTCTTGTTTGGGAATATTTGTTCAAAGAAATAATTATTTGTTCACTAATACAGGAAAGATAGCTTTATTACACACAGAGCTTTCTGTGATGCCTTAGCCGAAGAGAGTGCAAGATCAGTTGTAGCCACTAATGTGAGCTCCAGAAATGATTTGAATGGAGATCTGATGAGCCGTCAACAAAATTTGGCTCATGGGTTTTCTGGAATTCCGCTTCTTGGGGCTGGTTTTAGATCAGATTATACCGGTATGGCCCCCGCCGGGAATTCTGATCAGCAGAAGCCTGGATTATCACTTTGGTTGGATCAAGTGAATTCTCAACTCAATCCAGTTGATCCAAATTCAAATCTTTTCATGCCTAATATGATGCAAATGGCATCGGATAACAATGTTTCTGACTCGTCTAATCAGTTTTCATGGCTGGAAAGAACAGCAGCCTCTGCAAATTACACTTTATTTCCACAAGAAGGCCTAAAGGAGGAGGCAGTAATTAGCAAAGGAGCTGAATCTCTTTCTTCTTTATACTCTGATACTAAAAACGTTCACTCAAACTCTTCAGCTTCTACATCAATGTCTGCAACTGCAATTCTGCAAAAGGCAGCTCAAATGGGATCAACTGAAAGTACTCCAACATTCTTCAGAAATCCCTTGAATAAAAGTGAATTGCACCAGGTTTTCAAACAGCAGGCACCAACAAATACTACTGCAATTAACGGCCTGGATCAATCTATTCAAAGAAGTGGAACAGCAGAAAACCAACAGGGTTCTGCTAACTTGCATTCAGGGTTCAGAGATTTTCTCGGCATGAGCGGAGAAGGTGGCGCCGTCCCATTCTTCCCACCGGAGCTGGCGAAATTTGCTTCCATGAGTTCAGCCATGGGATTGAGCCACTTCTCAAGCAATCACTAGTTTTTTTATGCCAGGTATGGTAACACGACAGTATGAAACGTTACTTTATGGTCCCGTGTTGTAACACGTAATAATAACGTAAGGTACATCACAATCTTATCACAATCTTGCACTTCAATATGCCTCTTTGTGTTGTGATCAAAATCTATTTACATGATATTGATTTCAGATGGCACGAATGGCCTTAAAAAATTATAAAAGAGTGCCGGCCTCAAAGGGCGATCGAGAATTCGTGATAAATGAAAGTTTGTTTGGTATGTAATCAAAAGACTCGTGAATTTTTTACAGAAGTTGCGTGTGGTCAGATGCCATTTGAATTGTATCTATGTCAAAGGATAAGATGTCTTGAAATAGATCGAGCCATTATTTGAACTCCATCATTGTTTATAAAGATAGAAAGAAGTGATCAATCACCTTCTCTTATAATTTAGTCCCACTTTCGAATAGATAAAAATTAGATTTTTGTTAGATTTTGATAAAAATTGATAAAATAGGTGATTGAAAGTTGTGAATTTCATGAAATGTTTAACTAAAATTAATTATTGATTTTGACTTAAATTATAATATAACGTTTTAGCCAAACTAAACATGAATTTAGTTAATACTTATTTGCTTTAGCATTTATGAGAATTTGAAAATCATGGATGTTGACTTCTGCATTCAACTTTTTACTTATAATTAGAATTTAGAAAACACAAGTTAAAAACTTTAGAATTGCAGCAGGAATGTTAGGTAATCCAAAAAAAAATTGCTTCGACTAATGAGAAATTTTTTTGGAATCCTCATTTTTGTCTTATTCTTTTGTTTGTAACTCTATTTTCCATACCTACTTTTTGTTGATTTAGTATTCTAATAAAAAAGTTGTAGAAGTATACTCTCGTCCTATGAAATTGTTGGAGCTACCAAGCTTCTTGTTTTTATGCCAAGTGAATGTTTTAAGTTGTATAAAAGTAAATTAAACATATTTTTTCAAATATATTTGACTTTTTTAAGTTAAAAAAAAGGTATAGTTCATGCAATAAGTAACATAGATTTTAATAAAAGATAAAAAAAAATTCTTTTATAACTTATATAATAATGATTGAATTACTGCAATTAAATGCTTTTTTATGTAGGGATGGCATGGGTTGAGTTGCGTCGATTTTTTCCCAATCCAAATCCAACCTAACATGGTTAGTTGATCTGAAATCAAACCAACTCAACTCAATTAATGGTTTAAACCCAACCCGATCAAATCGGTTTGGGCTTCGGCCCAATTAAAGTTGGATCCGATTATTTTTTTGTTGAATTTGAATAAATTCTAAAAGTTTGAAATTACTTGAAGACTTCTATTTTTTTAATACCCATATAAGGAATTCTTTCTGAAAAAAAATGTATAAATAAGTTTAAAATTTATGAAGCATTTTCTTTTTCAAGATTTTTTGGGATTTATTCATTTCTTCGTCATGTTCTTAATTTTTACTTTATTATCAAATAAAATTTCATTTGTACAATGTGTTCATATGAATCAATCTATGTAAATTAATTGAATGTTTATAAATTATAAGTCCTTATATCTTTACTCGTGTTTATTTAGGGTTTTTGTTTTTTATTTTAGATATTAATTTTTTTCATTCATCGGGTCGGGTCGGGTTGAGTTGAGTTTTAAATCATAACTCGAGACCCAACCCAACCTCAAATTTAATTTTTCAACCCAACCCGATTGAACTTAAAAAACTAACCAAACTGATCGGTTTGTGTTGGGTTGGGTTTTGCTCTGCCCTAAAATTTCATGTGTATGAATTTACATAGAAATATATTAAGTTCAAGCATGTGAATATTGTAACTTTTGCTCGAGAGAGGGCATTAAATAGAATTTGTTAGTTGTTAAACATATGAAGGAGTTGAATGAATTTGAATTGAATGAATGTTAAATGAAGTGAAATTGAAATTTCTAACCATTTAATCCCAAAAATCCTCATAAACTCTCAGTTTTGATAGATTAAATTAGTTTAGTCTTGTAGTTATAATTTTTATTTTTTGACATTTAAGGGATTTACTAAGCAAATGGCATGTGAAAATACTTGCGTATTAATTATTTTGTTTTTATATTTATTAGATTTCAAAAACGGAATATACTTATTAAACGTTTATTAGTACTAATTTCTCATTAATAAACTTAAAAATGTATACGAATATACTTACATATTAATTATTTTGTGTTTATATTATTAGATTCCACAAACGAAATATTCTTATTAAACGTTTATTATTACTAATTTCTCATTAATAAACTTGAAAATTTTTTAAGCTACGTTAATTGGAATGAAACTTATAAATTCTTTAATGAATCAAAAAATAATTTGTATGTTATGCTAATTTAACAAATGTGAGCATATATAAATAAATCTTATTTAATGTTTTAGTATAATCTTCAAATCCATTAATTTTATAAATTTTATTATATAAATTACAATTATTCTTAATGGTTTTTGTATTGTTATTAATAAATACTATGCATTTTTACATTGTCTTGTTGGTTAAAGTAGAAAATAAGTAATTAGCCATCCCCTAGTTGTCAAACTAAGTAATTTTAATTAATTATGAGGAAAAAAGGGTTACCAATTATGTGTAGAGATTTACTTACAAGTATACTTAACAAGGCCAAAAATATTGTGATTGTTCTACTTTTAATTTCTTCTTCATAACCCACCAAATTTTGCTGCATTATGCACAAGTCATTGCACCTAAAATACTTTGAAGAAATTGAAATATGCATCTCAAAATTAGGCAGTAACTCTATTTCGTGCTACAGAACTTAAAAGGATCGAGTTTGGGTCAAGAAGTCTTGATGCCGAGCTAGTGATTATTTTTTGGAAAAATCTCGCAGCAACGAATTGACTTTGTTCTGATTTTGTATTTGAATTTAAAGTATATGATAAGTAGCTATCAACCTTCTTATTTCTTATGCTAAGTGAATGTTTTAAGTTGTATAAAAATAAATTAAATATATTTTTCTAAAAATATTTGACTTTTTTTGTGGAAAGTGGAAACTAGTTAGATATAAATGTGTTAGTCCATGGGAGAAAATTGTGTTGCAATATATGCAGAAGCAGAAGTGACGTGGATTATTCAAAAATTGAAGTTGATTTGCTTTATTAAAAGAAGATATCAATGAACGTCTTGACATTGTTTCACAAGATTCAACCAGTTATCTTTATTTTAGAATATCATTGAAAAATAGAAATTCGTGTTATCAAAGGATTTCCTTCAATTATTTCTAGTGTAGAATAAGTCAACCCACTTTGGGATTTTACTGAACATAAAGGTAATATTGTTCCCACATTGATCAAGAATCCCGATTTTTGAGAAATATCATGATCATTCAATAAAAAGGGTTTCCATTTTCTCAAATGAATAATTTGAAGACCTATTAATTCTAATAATTGATTACTGAGTTGATTATTCGGACATTTCAATTCATAAATGTAGATCTCCAACCTACACAGAACTTTACTTTGTCATAGATCAAACTGTTCTTCCGTATACTTTGCTTCCTTACCTTTGAGCCATATCAAATCTCCTTACACTTGAAAAGCAAGAAAATTATTGCCCCCTCTCACTAGGATATGTAGAGCGAGAAAGATCTCACCCTCAAACAAACACAGATAATTAGACAAATTTCTTGGGGTTGGGTGGTAAAAATTATATAGAGCTGGACCAAACCTACTAGTTTGGTTCCGTTCTACATAATACTAATGAGTTAATTTATTGGTTGAAACAAAATTTCGCATTTAAATTTGTATGAATTGGTTCAAATAATTAACCAAAAATTGGAAAATGAAAAGGTGTGTAAAAGTGAAAAATGAAAAGGTGTGACTACGTGTCAATTTCGATCAAATATTTGGATTTGATTCGATGGTCAAATTACAAAAGAAAATAGAGCAAATTATTCTACTCGTTAAGTAGATTGTCGTGGTATATTTGAAATCTTGAAACCAATTCCAGATGAATGAGAAATTGCGGACCAAAGTGGGAAGAAATGAAGTGTTACAACTTTTATAAATGATGCAGGTTTTGGTCAAGTGTTGCAACTTTTTGAAATGATGTATGTTTTGGCCCACATTACTTCATTTGCACCCTTTCTATATCTATAAATAGAACCCTATGGACATGATTTTGAGTACACCAATTGCATTGAGCATTCATTCTCCTCTTGCAATTCTCTTCTTTCTAATTTCATAGCATTTTCATGCATTTCTTTGGTAGAGAAGGAATTTCATTCGAGTTCGCTGGTCGAAGTCATTTGGAGTGTTCCTATGGCTTGACGTGATCGTTGTATTTTGGGAGATGATTGTCAAAAAACCGTTAGCACCGATTCGGGGCAAATTCAAGGACCAAGTGTCAAACACTTGTCTCGATAAAAAATTCATCACTTGCATCTTTCTTCCTTCATTATCTGATTTCTCTTAATTATAATTTGATTTCAGAAACTGATTAACATTATTTACATGTTGATAGCCTCATTTAATCCTATGGAATTAAATGAGATGATTTAAGTGAATATAATTATTTAGTTATGAGAATTACGCCACTTAATTATTTGAAATATTCTACGATCAATTTAGATGAAAATGTGCGTCATTTCATATGAATAATCATGACTTTTGATATGATTATTTTTCAATGGGTGTGTCTCTTCATAGAGATTAATTCAAGAGGTGTGTCCTTTTGTAGGGTTATGTCTCTTGAAAAACACAACTTTTTAACTTATGGTTGATTCGTTCGTTCAAATTTGAATATGGTGAATAATGTGAATATGTACCTTATTATTTGACATACAACGAAATTATCATGTGAAATGTCACAAATGTGATAAGTTGCATATCTTGCAATGCCTTGCCCTCTTTATTGTTGAATTTAACTTCAATCATGAAATCAATTAAATTGGTATATGTTTTGAAAGTATTGTTAGTCCATATGATGACCTTGATTTAATTTGGATGATCAAAATTAATTAGATTGAAGTACGTTATATACAACTTTGATTGAAATAAACTATGAGTCAACGACCACTACTTTAAAAGTATTTAGACTTTCACGAAACACTCGATATGGATATTATCTAAGAGATAAATAAATTGAACTGTGAAAGAGTTGCTAAACCCTAAGTTCAATTGTAACCCAAAGATGTGGGGGATTATCATAAATGCTCGTGAACTTGAATAAAAAGTTTAAAACTTATGGATGCAACGTTACTAGATTGCATATGTATTCTTAATTGAGGAGTTGTGGGGGTAACTCAGTTTAATAATTACATTTGCTTTTATCTTATAATCATAGAAAGATATCTATGAAGGTGAAAAGATATAAAACCCTTATACTAATTATAAGGATAATATACACTAAGTCTAAAGTGGATTAAATGGGTAGAAACCGATTATGGCTTTTGTTTAGACATGCAAGAACAATTGGAATATATGAAGAATATTTGTAAAGTTCGAATGCACTGTTATGTTTCAATGATGATATTGAATACCCATAACTCTGAAATCCACTAGTAAACATGGTTGACTAGTGTAATAATTAGAAAGAAATCTTTCAATCTTGTTTGGAATTGATAAAATTTTAGATAAAGCTAACAAGAAGCATGTAGCTTCATGAAAGGATTTCTTGGTGGTGACAATTTGTATCTATTAAATGAAATCGATTGTTTGCTAGCAATAATTGATAAGATACTAAGTCACATATAATAGTAGGTCTAGGCGTATAAGTCATAGATATAATACCATTAAGTAGTTGATCTCAGTAATGTAAACTCGTGGTACCTTTGAAGAGATTTACTAAAAGAGATCAAGAAGACTGCATATCGAAGGGAATGAGATTGAAGCCTACTACGTTAGAGTCCTTGTAATGATAACTCTACCTTGTTGACTGGAGATCTCAAGATCTTAGTTCAAAGGGACAACTAAGTTATCAGGATTCTATGAAACACTAAGGAAAATAGTTTCCTAACTCATTCTTATGACATTAAAGTGTTTTCTGCAGAGTTGCAAGAGGTTAATATAATCTTATAATGATTCCTATATCTTGATTAAGTCAAGTGGAGTAGGGCATAATATTCTTAATAGGAGGTCATCTATGTAAGTGTGAAGTGGGGCCGCTTCAATGAGAATTATTCAAGACTTAAATTCTCTAAACACTTGCAGAATCAAGAAGGGTTCAGAGTCAAAATGAACCAAGTCATGAGAACCATGAATGGTTTAGGGAAGACAGTGTGTGAGTATCGTTGTCTTGGCTTACACTAAAGGCTAAATGGTTCAAGACATCACGTTCACCAATTAGCCGAGTAAATCCGATGGTATTTCACTAAGGGAGGTTCAAGATTAGAAGCTACATTCCCTGATACAGTGTTTTTTCGCACCCTCTCTATATTGCATTATATCATCACATTTACATATGCGTACCCAATTCCCATTCATGTGGGGGATTGTAGGAATTAGTTCAAATAATTAGCCAAAAATTGGAAAATGAAAAGGTGTGTAAAAGTGGAAAATGAAAAGGTGTGACTACGTGTCAACTTCGACCAAATATTCGGACTTGATCCGATGGTCAAATTACAAAAGTAAATAGACCAACTTATTCTACTCGTCGAGTAAATCGTCATGGTATATTTGGAATCTCGAAACCAATTTAGGATAAATGAGAAATTGTGGACCAAAGTTGAAAAAAACGAGGTGTTGCAACTTTTTGAAAGAATGCAGGTTTTAGCCAAATGTTGCAACTTTTTGAAATGATGCATATTTTGGCCCACATGACTTCATTTGCACCATTTCTACATCTATAAATAGAACCCTATAGACATGGTTTTGAGTACACCAATTGCATTGAGCTTTCATTCTCCTCTTGCAAATCTCTTCTTTCTAATTTAATAACATTTTCATGTATTTCCTTAGTAGAGAAGGAATTTCGTTCGAGTTCGCTGGTCGAAGCCATTTGGAGTGCTCCTATGGCTTGACGTGGTCGGTGTATTTTGGGAGATGATTGTCAAAAAACCGTTAGCACCGATGCAGGGCAAATTCATCTTAAGGACCAAGTGTCAAACACTTGCCTCGACCAAAAATTCATCACTTGCATCTTTCTTCATTCATTATCTAATTTCTCTTAATTATGGTTTGATTTCAGAAACTGATTAACATTATTTACATGTTTGTTCTGCGAGGTTGGATTCAAAGAATAACTTGCTTTCGTTCAAGAATCAAAAAAGATGAATCCATATTCATGCATTCGGATTCAGTAACTATTATTGCTTTGCTTCTCAAATTCTATTTTGGTAAGTCGAAACTACATTTCGATTTCATGCAAATAAACGGTATGCTTTTATGAATATAATATGCACATAATCGGTGTATTTCCCAACAAAATTTTGCACCTATTGGATCGAAATTGTGGCTCCACCCCTGAATTTCAAAAGTGAGAATTACAGCCTACCAAAATTTTAAACTTCACATTTCAAAATTAAGATCTATAAGTTTTTTCTTCTCTCTCTAGCCCAAAATGATAATTAAAATTTTAAATATTAATAATTATATTATATTGTTAGTACAAAAATTAAATTAATCTATATGCTCCACGCCATCCACCCCATCTTGATTTTAAACCCTAAATCTTTCTCATTCTTGTCTCTTCCTTCTCTCTTTACTCTCTCTGTCCTTCTCTCTATTGGTGGCCACGGTAGTACTCTCCCCCTCTCCTGATTTTCATAATAGCAAAGTGGCGCTAAACGCAGCAGCAGCGCTGCAACGATAGTGGCGCGTAGAAATTAGGTTGATATTTTCATGCATCTTCTTGAATGCGCTAGAAATTAGGTCTTGGAAGGGTCTATATTTAGCTTGGTGTTTTCATCTTCTCAAGCACGTTAGAAATTAGGTTTGGTTGTTGTTTTTGGTGGTGTTGATGGCGTGACATTGGTACCGCGGTTGTGGGGACTGGTTGGTGTTGGTGGTGGCATCGACGTTGTGGTGGAGTGGTTTTATTTGATTAACATGTGTTGGTGGTGGTCATGGCAGTGGTTGTACGTGAGGTGGGGGTGTTTGTAACCAATTATTTTAGTTAACTGTGACCCATAAATTGGTTAATTTGTAATCAATACATAATATATGACTTAAAATGTGATTGCGACTTACAATTTGTCAAGTTGTGAAATAACTTGCGATCAATTGATTTGATAATTTGTAACTCTGAAATAAATTGTGACTTATAAAATTTGTGATCTTTTACCGATAAATAAATTATGACGTGTAAACATTTTTATTCATGACCAGTAAAATTTATGATTTGATATCGATAAATAAATTGTGACTAATAAATTTTTGATTTGTAATCAACGAATAAATTATGACCTATAAAATTTTTGGTTTGCGACTAAAAAATATTTGTGATCTATAAAAACATTTTACTTGCAATCGAGAAATAATTTATTTTCAATTAATTCAATAATTTTGATCAAATTATATAGTATTATGACTGTAATATATTTTATTAAGAATAAATATTTTTAATTAATTATTTCACAAAAAGAACTTAATAATATCTAATTTTTAAAAATTTAAAACTTGTTTCTTAGTTTTGAAATGGATTATAGTTAACCTCTTTGGTTAATTTTTATTCTATTATGGTTACTTTCCATACAAATATTTTTTTAAATTTTAATTTTAAATATTTATCTATTTAGTAAATTGATGAACCTATTTGATAGAGAAAAATATTTTACCAACAGAAATTAGAAAAAAGAAAGTTAAAAGTTTATCTATTGAACTATCTAATTTACTTCCAGGTAAAAATTATGATTGATTATTAGTGTGTTCAAAGAGAAAAATGTGGTTAAAAAATAAGTAAAATTGTGAAACCTATAAAATATGTACATAAAAGTGGAGTATAATCAAATTATAAGTCATTATAATTTTTGACAAATGGAGATTCGTCTCTATTTGTCTTTCGATGGAGAAGGGGAGTAAGCAAAATGAAGAGAATAACATTTTCTTTTCTTTTCTTCTGCAAAATTATGCTCCATAGCCTAAGTCCACGTTTGGTTCAACAAAAAAAAATATATTAAAATATAATTTCAAGTCAACATTTAATTTTAACTATATATATCATGGAATCCACAATTTTTGAATAGCATGTCTATATTTTTACTAATTTTCATTTCTTTTGTCATTTATCATGGGGTTCACCATGTGTGTTTTTAGATTTGACTGCGAAAGATGGATCATTATCTATATTTTTACAACTGTGCTAAATTGACAAGGAGGAGTTGAGAGCACTTACAATAGGTGGTGGGGCCAATTTTTTTGGATTTTTTTATTCAAGTGAGTGCCACACTCATCTAAAAGGATGTCAAGACTTCTATCAACAATTCTTGGTCAACTCAGCTTAATTCAAATTTCTAACCCAATTTTTTTTTTTTGATATATATACCCCTTATTTGGGCTCCATTTTTTCAAATTATAATGAAATGAATAGTTATTTTTTGAAGAAATTGTGGTTAAAAGAAAAGATTTTTTTTTAATATTACGTGTAATATTATTGTACTAAGAAATATGTGGTTGATAAGAAGAGAGAAAAATGAATTTTAATTTAATAGAGAATTGACAGAGGCATATTCTTCTTAACACTTGAATTACATTCTTATCTCCTCTTGGACCTTGCCAATTCTTCCTCCTCCTTTTCTGAAACAGATCATGAAATCATCGTCTTATCTTATTTATTTATTTATTTTTAAGATCATGCTATATGTACACTTTGTTTGACATTGTGCAACGTGTCATTTTATGAGTAGACAATTTTTAAATGCAACGCACTTTCCCACCAATTGTAATTTGAAAATGAATGAAGTATCAACAATCATGACAGCCAAATAATATACAAATAGCTTAATCCTTATTTTTATCGGCATTCTTATCGGAATGTTCCGTGCATTAGAGGTCTTTTTTTACAGTTTTCCATCTGCGTACTTGGAATTTCAATTTTTGTAGTAGCCATGCGTTGATGAATTTTTTACCACGAGATTGTCGAAGCGACATGAACAAAATAAATACAACTCAACATTCACAAAATAGTGCTACAAATAATTAAAAATTGATTTTAGTGCTATGTTTTCGACAATTTATCGAATCAAAATTGATCTGGAGGTGCCTGCAGAAACAATGGAAACTGACTCATTTTCTTAATTCAATACAGAAAATTGTCCCAAACGCCAAGCAATTTTTCACTCATAAACGCAATTCGGAGATTCAAAATTTAAATAGATTACAACATAAGAAAATTATTCTGAAAATTAACCGCAGTGAACTAATCCAATTCGAGGTTGAGCTGGAATTACTCTCGCGGTTTTTACCTCTTCTTCACTTTTACTCTAGAAGGTGCGACTTTTCCCTTCACATCCCCCCTTTGAGAGGACAAATTAGCTTGTTTGGTCTTCATTTTGAGTGACTTAACCAACGAAGATATATCCTTTCTTCGTTCTGGGTTCGATACATCAGGTTGCAAGTCCTTGTCTTTGAGCATTTCCAATTTGTTATTAGACAGAAACTGCCCTGAAATTTCTGTGTGCAGTGTTCCAGTAGCGTTTTCCTGAACACCTTTATTTTTCTGTGCCATTTGCCGAGCATAAACTGCACTCCTGTCATACAGAACAAAAAATTTCAGCGTGTGTTAAGAATTGTGCACAGCAAAAGCTTCCATTATAAGTAAATAGTTGCGTTTAAGAAATCAGAACAAGGATGAAGAGCTAATGATACGATAGGAGCACTGGGCAGTAGGGGGGAGGGGAGGAGGGGTGCTTGGGGGAAAACCATAATTGACATATTTGGTTACATGGATTAGACACGTGAAATAGTACTAGTGAAAGTAAAAAACTAAAATTTTGTCATTGTGCTGTCCGTATATGAAACGTGCACTATGAAAATCAGGAACTTCCATTGTAACCTTACTGAACAATTTGATCAAAAGAAAATGCCATTTTGGAGTTTTATCAACAATTTGCTTGTGTAGGTGGGAATCCGCAATAAGTGCAAGCAAAGATGTAGTGACACTGTTAAGAAATATATATGGGGAAAACCCAACGAACAGGGCCCTGTCACCCAAGAATAACCCAATATATATATACCTTTTGAACTGAGGATCTGTTGGATCCAGAGCAAAAAGTGGTGAGGTGAAGAGAGACGAAAATCGTGGATCATCATAGTCAACATCAGGTATTTTTCCATCATCAGGAATTTCCTTCCCTTTTTTCCCCTTGCGCTTCTTAGGTTTCAAGTTATAGCCCTTTAAGTTGTTATCCATTCCCGTGTCATCAGCAAGTAATAGCTCAAGCTCAGCTCGACTAGCTTCAGCTTCTTGAACTGTTTCTTGATTAGGTTTGTCTTTCTTGGTACCTCGAACCTGAGTTTCCTCTTCAACAAAAAAGTCATCCGGTTGTTCAGCAAGTTCACGCTCAGTATCGCTGCTATCTTCATCCGATGAATTCTTGGACCTACTTTTCCGAGCCTTCTTTTTCTCTCTTCTCATTCTGAGATATGACTCCCATACAGTTTCTGATTTTTTATCCTTTTCTAAAATGCGTTTGCTTATATCTTCTAAGCCAGTATTGAAAGTGACCTCCATGTCTTGGGCATTATCCTCATCATTGTCATCTGAGCCACGATCCCCGGACTGGAGAAGAACACGGTACATATCTTGCTTTCTGCGTCTTTTGACAGATCTATCTTCCGTGTCATTATCATCATCGTTGTCATCTGCTTCACTCTCATCGGATGCCAAAAACTCCTTTAGCTCCAATTCGTCAAGCTGGGAAAGAAGAAATGGATTTGCCATTGGGACAAAGACATGATTGGAGGGGGAGTTGGGGTGGGGGGTGGGTTATGTAACTAGAGAGCCCATTCTCTTTCCAAGAAAGTACGCAAGAAAATAAGGGAGCATATGCTCTAGAGAATCCAATGATCTTGAAAGATAGATAATTATCAACCAATACTTAACTCCTAGATCTTAAATGTTTCCAGTTTGAAAAATTATTTCATCCCAACCTGTGTCATAGAACGAAACAATAGACTAGATATGCGCAAGAAAAATGTGTTTGTACACAACCCACCTACAGTTGCATTAATAAACAGAAACAAAATAAACCTGTTCAGCATTGAGTTTTCTCTTCAAGGTCTTTGAGCGCTGTGGTTCATCTTCATCCCACGTGAGCTGAATGTTACTGTGCTGTAGTGCTCGAGTTTGAAAATCCAAACCTTCATAGTCTGTTGGTGCCTACAGCAGAGAATTGAGAAATTTAAACAGATAAAAATTGAGAGAAATATATTAAGTATTAACGAAACTCCGTTATTATATTTCTTTAATATGACAAGTATGTTATAGGCATTCTTCGGAAGTATCCCGAGACAAGGTAATAAGAAAAGGCAATAGTTAACAACAAAAAGTAACTACAGCAATAGTTGCTTCATGGTCATTCGCATTAACTATAAACCATAATAAATATTTGTTCCATTTGATGATCAAAAGAAATAATTTACCTCAGTTGCCACATCCCGTGGCTGATGTTTAAACTCCATGGTGTCAGGAATAAATCTCAAATCCAACTTATTTGATGATCTTTCAAACTCAACTCCATCACAGGTTTTGTATAGGTAATCTGCTGTAGCACTTGAATCACATTCCACCACAGCATAGTAATACCTGCATAAAGAACGTATAGAAATGGGAATGAACTCTTTGGCACTGAATGATTAATCATACAAAAAGGGACATTACAGGAACATAACACACAAATAAATAAGCTTTCAGTCACACACATTGAGTGGCAAAGGTCACATGTCCATTCTGAGAAATGAAAAAGAAAAGAAAAGAAAAGAAAAAATAAACCAAAAAGAGAAAACACTGAGACTTGTTTCGACTACTGATGAAAAAACTCGTACTTTATGACATTCAAGGCTTGTTTGAGCCACATTATTTTCAAAAAATACATTCTTCAACAGTGATTTGACATCATTTCAACCACACATTCTTCAATAAAATAATATTACACGCAAATCTGAAACTTTTCCTTATTTTTAACCACACATTTTCCATTGATTTGACATGTATAATACACTTTTTTGCCTAGAATGTGGCTCAAACATGGGCTCAAAATATATTTTGGGCAAAGAATAAATGCCCGATAGGCTAATCATTATTAATTTGGACCCATTCCGTTGTTTTTTCTTTTGTTTGTTTTGATTAGAAAAATGGAGGAAACATCTTTTCTTTCACTGATCTTATGTGAAGCATAGAGAATCCTCCAAAGGCAGAATGTCAATATTTGACACATCAGACATCGACGTGCCTTGGACACGCAGGACCACATATATCCACATGAAACACAATTTATGTATTTTTCAAATTTTGTCATCCAAAGGACATGGCCCAACAAGTCAAGGACTTGCCATGCCCCATTCTATAAATCTTGGAATCTAAAACTAGGGATACAATTTATCTCACTAATTTTGTCAAAATTAGTGAGAAATATTTTACCAATTTCACATCAAATTTATTTTAACTTACTGTGTTTCTTTTAAACATGAAAAAATTTTCCCATCCTCAAATTCAAAAGATTTCACATGCAAAATTGAAAATCCAAGCACAAAATGAGTAATAGCATGCAAAAAATAATAAAACTGCAGAAGAGATATTAATATTATATATAAATCCTAAAACACTTTAATCAATGTATTTCCTATAATATTGTGCAGTGATGCATCTCATGTAGTGTCCGCATCTGTATCCATATCAGTAATTCGTAGTTACCCATGTACATGCCATCATATAAAGCGTGAGCTTTCAATATGGAGTTGTTTAGATTGACAAATATTAAGGAAAGTGGTGGTGCAAATATTCATAGACTAATCATGGCTCATGTTATCCTTGGAAGTGCAATGAAGACTACTATTAACACCATTGAATTTCAACGTGTTCAAAAAATAAATAATTACTGGAATACGACAATAATAGAGAATCCACAGCTTAAAGATTCTGCATACATAACAAATGGATATTCACCTTAGTCTACTTAGTTCATAGGCACACAGTTTTTTGTCATCAAACTCATCATCTTGTTCATCCTCCTCACCCTCATCAAATAGCCCAACAGGACCATGGACAGCCTCCTCTTCCATGCGCTTGAGTCCAAATTCAGATGGATAGACAGCCACTGACATAATTTGACCATCTTTAGGAAGAAACGAACTTAGCAATACGTACAAGTCAACAGCCTGCAGATTTCAATCCAATTCTCAGCAAATAGATTCAATAGAAAAGAACACCTAAAATACCGGCAATTAATAGTTCACTCAATTCTACGAAGTATACCTGGATATCAGTGTTATCAAACTGATGTGTCATTTAGTTAGCCTCCGTTTGGCAAACGAATTTATGACTTATAATACAATGTCAAACAATAATTTCAAACACACATTTATAACTATTACTCACCAATATCCTACATTTTGTGGGACCCACTACCATTCCTCTTTATAAACCATTTATAAATTTGCTAAATGAAGGCTTAACAACACGCAAGGACACTCAAATTCTATGATATTTATGTATCAGGTCATCAAGCTAAAAGTTCTGAACAACTATAAACAGTGCACTCAATCCAAACAATAGTATCAAGATAAAAATCCAGACTACTTTTGGAGAAAGATCACCTTATGCAACTGAAATAAATGATGATAGCAAACAAAAATAAAATAAGGAAAGTTTCAACTACACACCCTCACTTGATTCCAGTCCAAATTAACAACTGCAAGTCTGCGGGTTTCATTATCGATTTCTGGTATGTTGTCCTCCTACAGATTCAGAAAAGGAGACATCAAATTCAGGTAAATGTAGCTCGCAAAATTTGCAGCAAAAACATATAGAAATTGAGCTCCAATCTTTACCTGATGCATAAAGGCGTCATCCTCCTCCTCCTCCAAATAAGCTTTATCACCTTCATCTGAATCTGTAGTGCTAGTCGATGATGATTCATCACTGTCATGGCTGTCATCCTCAGATTCACTTGATTCTTCCAATTCACTTTTTAGTACTGATTTTCTTTTCTTCAATTTCTCACCCTCACTCTCACTCTCACTCTCACTCTCACTCTCACCTTCCCTTGTCAACAGTGATTTTCTTTTCTTCAAGTCCTCACCCTCACCCTTGCCCTCACCCTTGCGCTCACTCTCACTCTCACTCTCACTCTCACTCTCACTCTTCTGACTTTCACTTTCTTCTTCTTCTTTTTCTTCGGTTGCAACCTTCTTCAACCCATGCCCTTTTTCTACTTGGTTTTCTTCCTCTTCTAGATGATAGTAGTGTTTGAGAGGGTTTTGAGAGTGGGAGTTCTTTCTAAGTTTACCCCTCTTGTCTATAGGAGCCTTGGAGGATGCAAAATTTTTATCAGTGAACATGCGGTCAAATCGAGAGTCAATAACCACTTTAGAGTTACGCTTCGGAGCCTCCCGAAATCGAGGGTCAAAGTGTACAGATGAAAATCTAGCGTCTGTGATGATTTTGCCACCCTCATTCTGGGGATGGTAGTTTCCTCCTCTCTTGCCACCTTGATCGCCAGCTTTGTTCTTCTTCTTTTTCTTGTTTTCAGTTCCCATGGATGCCTACAGCAAAAAGCAGCACAAGTATCAATGCTATGCTATTAACTTGGAAGTAACGCTAAACAAACTGGTTCAGTCTAATTTCCATCGAAACCAGGGAAGGAGCTAGGAAATTCATTTAGTACAGGCACAATTAATCAATAACGAACTTTTGCATTTTTGTTCATAAATTTAATGATGATAAAATATAAAACAATATTAATGTGGGGGTAATTGTATCTATTAATTCTGGATAGAAAACCTGTGAAGTCTGCAGAGAACTCTAGTGGAGCAAAAAAGCTGGAAGATCTGTCAGGAAATCAAGGCTATATGTGCTAGGAACTTGAAGATAAAATGAAGGTTTGTGATTCTGCTGTAGATCTGTGATAGTGATTCAAAAAATACATGAGTTTAAAAGGAGGAATTTGGAGATGACAATGGAGAATTTTGGTCTGATTTTCATGGAAACAGATGCTGAAATACATTTATGTAATTATTTCACCGATTACGCTGGAGAGGCACAGAGCCGGTCCTGTGATTGTCGAGGCCTAAGGCGAAGTCCAAAAATTAGGCCCCCCAAAATCAACATAAATGCAAAATTCAACTGTGTATTATGTAAACATTAAAACAATAAACAAATATCTCAATTATCTCACAATTAATACAATTTCATTTCGTTTCCCTTCTCTTTTGAGCACCAGACTCATATTTATGAGGCATGATATATGAGTCTATATCCAATGTCCAATGATTAACGTAAAAGACAATTACAAAATATCCCAATCATCTCACAATTAGAATTTTCAATATAGGTACTATGTGCGCCTGTGCAATCGATCTTATAATAACCAATCATATAAGTCGACAATGCTTCAAACATTTCCAAATATTCAATAACAAGTTAGGGTAAGCCATTGCTTACCTGAGAAGTATAATTTCGACGAAAATTATGAAATCACACTTTCACCGTCACAACTCACAAGCCTGGAATAAAAATTTAACATCAAACACCAATACAAATATACAATTCTATTGCATTAATCTATTCATAAAAAATTTAGAATCCTATTGCAAATTGCAATTTCATCATAAATCCCACGAAATCAAAAATAAAAAATCTTGAGCTTTTCAAACTTAAAAGAAAAAAATTGAAATTGTTTTTCAAACTTCAATGATAACTTCTTAAGCTTACACAGTTTTTATGCTCAAAGTAAAAAGTAGACAAGTCCGGTGACATGAATTCGAGTAAAAATAGACGTGACCAATTGATTTAAATCTTAGAACATCAAATTCTACAATTGTAAACAAAAAATTCCTAACATATAGGGTTGTGATCACAAAATTCCTTAATAGCTCGACCATAAAGTTCATCGTGAACATATAGATTAAAAACAATTTAAAAACTTAACTTTGAAAAATAGTCAAGCGTACTTGACTGAGATAGAAAATCAAGGGCTGTAATTGTCCATAAAAATATAATGGATGCGACCACAAATTTAATCTCAAATTCTCCAACTTTCTAGGAAAAAATTGTAATGGATGGGCTGAAATTCTCAACCAAAACTCGTAAATTTCAACAACACATATAGATTCCAATGGAAATTCTCAATACCCAATTCTTCAATTAGAATTTCAGAATGCAATTACATAGAAGAAACAATTAAACAGAAAAGGAGGAGAGAGGGAATTCAGAGAATTTTCCGAAAATTGGTTCTGCCTTCCCCAATTCAACTGATTTTCCTCCTCCTTGCTTCCATCATAACAAAATTCAACTCAACTAGCCTAGGGTTCTAATTTCTAATTACGAAGTTCTTATATATGTCATACTCCAACATGAAATATATATATATATATTGAAACATCTAATTTAACTTAATTTAAACAAAAAGGTCAAACTTACAGCAACAAGCTTCACAAATTCAATTGAATCAATTCAATGCGCAACACAGGGCCTATGTTTCTTTTAATAAATATTTCAGAACGAGTAAACAATCTGCAGGGTGAAATTTGAAAAAAGCGTCGAAGAAGAGAAGAAGCTGCCTGCCTGCCGTGAAAGAGAACAGGGAACGCCGGAACAGAAGAAGCTGCTTCCGTCACCTCTGGTCGCTGCCTCGCTAGTCCGGTTGGAGTCTTGGAGGCGGAGGCAGTCGAGGAACTCGCAGCAGCCAAGAGGGTTACTTCTTTTAATATTTTAAAAAAATAATAATAATAAAAATAAAAATTGGGCCAAAATAGGGCCCTACGGTTTTGGGCCTGAGGCGCAGGCCTCATTTGGATGGCCACAGGACCGGCGGCAGCCAGCTATACAGGCATGTTGAAAACCATAAACGGCCACAATTCAAGAGATATTTTCGAGAAAATCACTGTTCTGTAAGGAAGATTACCATCGAGAAACAACAGATTTGTCAAAAAAATAAAAATTCTAAATAGCAAGAAGATGAGAATGGCTATAAGGCTAGACGAATCTTAGATCGAGACACTCAGAACAATCAAATCAATGCGAAATCAACATATAAAGCTGTTTTTACCCAAATAAATCTGATACTACCTTCTAATTTGGTGATGAGTTGATTAGAAATCACTGCAACACAAACCCTTGGCCACTCTCGTGTCCCCTTCGTTTCCCGTAGCTTTACTAATAAGACTTAAAACAGGCCTGGGTTATGAATTACACCAAGAAGATAGGCTTTAGGGAAAGGGGAAGAATACAGTGGTTACTACATACAATTTTATTTGGGAAATTTACAAAAATACTCTAATTTTAGGTGTTTTTTAAAAAATCATATATTTTGAGAATAAAAATGTAATTTGTAAACCACTGTGTCACTAATTTTTGGTCATTGTTTAATATTTAAAAGCAAGTGTCATTGTTTAATTTAAAAATAACATATGATGTCATTTTTATTAAAAAGAGATGTTTTCACTCAAAAAGTGATATAAATTTCAAGAAAGTCACAAAGAACAAAAGTGACAAACACTAAAAAAATTACAAAAACTCAAAAAAGTACGAAAGAAAAAATGTGACACAATAAAAAGAAGTGACACAATAAAAAGAAGTAACACAAATTCAAAAAGTGACAGACATTAAAAAATGTGACCAAAATTTAAAAAGTGATACGTTCAAAAAAGTGATAGAAAAAAGCAAATCACTCAAGAAAATGACGAAATTAAAAAAAAAATAACAGAAGTTCAAAAAAGTGACAAACACTAAAAAAAAGTAACGAAAATAAAAAAATGACATAAATAGTATGATGACAATTTTCTAGTTGAATTATTAGTAATCTATTTATTCTATTGAGGCTTTTGGTAAAAATCTGGAAATAACAATAGTTTTTAGTCTATTTGTTTAATTAAAATTGAGATAGTTGTAAAATTATTCAATTTCACACATCAATAACATTCATGAAGGCAAATCAATTAAAATAAACTCTCGACATTTGTCGTTTACAATGTAACCTTTTATGGGCCCCTATGATTTTTCTTCAAAATACGTAGAATTTGAAATAAGGGTTTGTTTTTTTTTTTTTAAAGAGACAAAAATGTAACTTTTTAAAGTTACATTTCACTTTTTTACTAAATACATGTCACTTTTATTAAAAAGTAATATTTGTCACTAAAAAAAGTGATAGAATATTCAAGAAAGTGACAAAATAATAATAATAATAATAATAATGGACAAACACTAATACAAATCCCAAATAATATATTGGAATTAGTTCAAAGTGACGGAAATTTATAAATAAAAAATAAAATAAAATAAAGTGACACAACCACCATCTCTCCCATCAGTTTACTGTTAAGCATCTTTAAGTCAATTTATCGATAAAACACCAAATATCTTTAAATCAATTCACTCTCAGCACCATTTACCAACTCGAATTGAGAGGGGGGTGACCGACTAACTTATTAATCAATACTATATTAAAGGATTTGACATTCATTTAACGGAAGATAGCATCTACTCAAACAAAGTAGTTACATAAACATCATAAACTTATTTCTATTAATCTGCTTCCTCCAACCAACGACCACTGTCCCCCGCCTCCCTTCATCACTAAGCATCTTTAAATCTGCTCATTGAAAAAACATTGGCCAAAACGCTAAGCATCTTTACATCAATTTACCGTTACCTTCATCTACCAACTTGAATTGAGGGAAGGAGACAGACTGACTTATTCCCCCCCCCCCTCCCTTCATCACTAAGCATCTTTAAATCGGCTCATTGAAAAACACTGGCCAAAACGCTAAGCATCTTTACATCAATTTACCGTTACCTTCATCCACCAACTTGAATTGAGGGAAGGAGACTGATTGACTTATTAATCAATACAATATTAAAGTGGCTGATATTCATTCTATAGAAGATTGCATCTACTTGAACAAGGTAGTTCCAAAATCACCACAAATTTATTTATATTCCCCTTGCTTTCTTCAGCCATTTTACATAGGGCTCCAATACATTCACAAAGCTTTTTCTGTGTAGCAATATAAAGGAAAAATAATTAAGTTAAAGAATGTCAAAACTAAAACACATAATTATATTATCTACAAATCAAGTTCTCTTTTATATTTAGATTGTAAACAATTTATCCAATACACTACTATCCGCAAAGCAAGAAATAACAATATTCACATATTATCTTCATAAGCTATTTAATATATAATCTATAATATTGGGCTGTGATGCCAAATATACTTGTGTGTCCAGCCCATTTGGGCAATGATGATATGATTGGTCCAATAGATACTACCCAGCCCATTGCCCAATAATTCAATGTTGAAAGCAGCTGAAACCTGGCCCAAACCGTATAACCTACGTGTGTCATTTTGGACACTTTGATCTACTTAACCTAACATCTACGGTGATGACCCATTATGATATAAACGAGGTCTGAGTCTGTTTAGCCCTAATTCAAGTCACTCTTTCTCTGTCTCTTTGTGATATTTCTGTGGAACCTTCTGGGTCTCTCTTCGTGACTTTGTGTCTTCTGCCTCTTCTCCTTCTTCGTGAATCTGGTGATTTAGCCATTAAACCTCTGGTTTTCTGGCCACTGTGTGTGCTTAGAGTCTTAGTGATTTTTCGGTTGTGATTTGTGGAGAGTTTCCCGTTCGTGTTTAAGTGATTTGAGTCCATTGAAGCGACTGCCTCTGTGTTTGTGGTTTAGGACTGTGGTTTATGAGTTTTCACATTGTATAGACGGGTACAATGCGTGATCTGAGCCCAAATCGATGATAAACTTGATGCCTTTGGTCTGAGAGTTTTTCGGTCATTTGTTGTGTCGATTTTGGGTCTTTTCTTGTAACAGTGGTATCAGAGCCTCTTTAGGCCATTCGAGTCCTTGTCTCCGATGACTGGTCATGGGAAATTAATTTTCACGATCGGATTTTTGGGAGACGAACAGTCGGCTGAAACCCTAGATCTGCTCGGCTATGGATCTTGATTCGGTTTATGGTTTCTTGCGTTTTTTCTTGGTGAACTAACATTTTTGTTGGTGGATCTTGCAGAAAACATTGAGTTTCAAATTCTTCTTGGTGAACTGGCTTGAAAGTAATTGGGCCTCTTGCTTGATACTCGATCTGCCGGTCGAATTTTCTAACTCTTTTAAGCTTTTTTAATTGAAATACAGTTCTGAAATTTTTGGAATATTGCAGGTATACTTTTAATTCAAAATGTTCTGCATGAGTTTAAACTTTGTGATTAATTCCTGATTTCAGTATAAAGTCTATTGATTAATCTTTGTGATTAATTCTTGATCCCTGTAGTCTGCATGTTAATCTTTGTGATTGTTAATTGACAATTTGTCTTTAACCCTGTACACTTTGCACTGCACTACTGTGTACTTTGGGTTGAGCCTTGACCTGAGGTCTTTGAGCCTCACGGAATCCTGGTGAGCCCAAGACACAACACTGCATTCTAAAGTGATTGTTTATTCCTATGATTTGTTACTATTCACTGAGTTATATTCCCTGATATATTTTTTTATATTGTATGTGATCTGGCTGAACTTTAACCCTCAAAAGCTTTTCTTGAGTTGATTAAAAACCTCAAATGACAACGGGAACGTTTGAACTAGGGATTTTTAATGGAAAAGGGGATTTTCCCATTTGGCAGCAAAAAAATGAGGGGGGTTCTTGTTCAACAGAAAGTGTCTAAAGCTATAACTGGTGAATATCCTGATACGATGACTGATGAACAAAAGACTGAATCTGATGATCTTGCATATACTTCCATTATTCTTTACTTGTCTGATCCAGTATTAAGAAAAGTTGGAAAATTGGATAATGCAAAAGCCTTATGGGATAAACTTGAGGAACTTTATTTGGTAAAATCATTGCCAAATAAACTATTTTTGTTGGAAAAAATTTTTAGCTTCAAAATTGATATGTCCCAAAACTTAGATGATAATCTTGACAATTTTAATAGACTAGTACAAGATATCACTAATGCTGGGGATAAAGTATCTGAAGAATATAAGGCTATAATTTTGTTAAATTCCATACCTGATGTGTATAAAGATGTTAAGCCAGTTATTAAGTATGATAGAGAGTCCTTAACACCTGGATAGTGATTGATGATTTAAGAAGCAAAGATTTGGAAGTTAGATGTGAGAGACATGGCAAGGAAAGTGAGAACCTATTTGTAAGAGGTAGATCACTGACCAGATCTAGTAATAATCAGGGTAACCAAAGTAATTAGGGAAATAATGCCTTTAGGAAGAAGGGAAAGGGTAGACAAATGTCAAAGTCTAGAAATGGTGCTAGAAAATGTTATGGTTGTGGAAAAACAGGGCATTACATAAAAGACTTTTTTAAAAGGAAAAATGAGCAAAGAGAGGTTAAAATTGATGAAGGGAATATTGTTAAGCCTCTAGGTGAGGGTACTGTTGATGTCTATGTTGTGACTGAGTCCTCATCTGATTTGAACTCTACAAATTATGCAGATAATTCAAGTCAGAGTGTAGAGTGGATCTTAGATTCAGGTTGTACCTTTCATATGACCTCTAGAAAGCATTGGTTGCTTGATTTTAAGGACTTAGATGGAGGTGGGGTTGTTATGGGTAACAATGCAGCCTGTAAAGTGTTGGGGATAGGCTGTGTGACTTTAAAACTTGATAATGGGTACACCTTTACCTTGAAAAGGGTGAGGTATGTACCAAATTTAAATAGAAATCTGATTTCAGTTGGGAACTTAGATGACATAGGTCTCCAAGGAAAATTTGGAGATGGTTTCTTGGACATAGTTAAAGGATCCTTAGTTATTTTCAAGGGTATTAAAAGAAATGATATCTATGTCACTAAAGCTAATATTTTGAGTCACACTGCAGAATCCTCTATGGCTAAGAGTGATGCTACATTGAAATGACATAATAGGTTAGCCCATGTGAGTGAGAAAGGCTTACACATCTTAAGTCAGAAGGGTGCCTTTGGTAGTGATGTGGTTTCTAAAATTCCCTTTTGTGAATATTGTACCTTAGGCAAACAACATATACTTCACTTTAGTACAAGGAAACATAAGACTACATCTATCCTAGAGTACATATATTCTGATTTGTGGGGTCCATCATCCACTACCTCTCAAGGTGGGAATAGGTATTTTTTATCCTTAATTGATTATTTTTCAAGAAAAAGTATGAGTATTTCTTTTGAAACAAAAATCAGACACTTTTGGAAAATTAAAAACTTGGAAAACT